AAGCAGCACACCCACATAGTGGGCCAAACAGTTTGATGGTGATAAGATGGTTTCTGGAGTCTGCCCTCTTCCCCGTCGATTCCTCTGAGGCAGCCATAGCTAAAGTGGTTCAAAACATCAAAGTTCATGCGCAATAATCCAGGGTTTAAAAAAAAAATCCAACGAAGTTAAAAGTCAGGTCCTCTGGACCGTGTCATTTTTTTGTTGAGACGTTTCGTCCTTCATCCAAAGGACTTATCACCATCAAACTGGTTGGCCCACTATGTGTGTGCTGCTTGTGGGACTAAATTTGTATGAAGTCCTTTGGATGAAGGAAAAGAACATTTCAGCAAAACAAATGAAACCGTCCAGAGAACCTGACGACTTTGTTGGATTTTTTTTTTTAACCTGGATTATTGAATATGAACTTTGATGCTAATGACAGTTTTGTGAAAATCCCGAAAGTTTCCTCACTTAAATACAACCCAAATTTTGCAATAGTTTAAAAGCAACTCTAAGTTTAACATTTTAAAATACAAAATAATACCTTCTTTCTTTGTCTTTTAGATTCTGGCAGCGCTGAAGTGGGTTAAAAAAAAACCCTGATGAGTTGGGACGTTGCTCAGAGGACGTTAAAATAACACCAAGGAAAAAAAACGCTAGCTAAAGGCTCAACAAAGGTGAATGCTGACTAATTGCTAAAAGTAGCAAAATGGTGGCATCCAGTTCTGCATGATTCACTTTTCTCTGCTCCAACAAACCTGATTTGAATAAATGAGTGATTAACATGCTTCTGCAGAACATCTCCTGAAGAGCAGCTTGGAAACAACTAAAACATGCAGCTTTTGAGGACCAGGATTGGACAACACTCAGTTAAATGATAAAAACAAAGATGCTGATTAAAAGTAGCAAAAGACTAGCTTAAAAAGGTAATGATCAAAACACACCAGCTATCAAACAGAAATCATTAATAACAGTCGGTGACTTCTGGAGAAAAGGGAAGTTCAAATGTGCACTAATATTTCTTCCATTAAGACAAACACCTTTATCTCTCCCTATTAGATACGTTTAAACATAATTTTATTATTTATATTTTAGTTTTACACTGTCATGCTTATTGTCATCTTTTTACTTTAAGTACTCTTTAATTAAAGCTGAAACACATTAAATTTTACGTTGCAATATTTAATCTAAAAGTCTAACATATTGTTTCAACTAAAACATTTGAGTAAGTGGACTGCTTTAGAAATGTAAGTGAAAATTATATATTAATTTTTTATGTGATTTGGATTTAAAACGCCTTGCTGTTTAAGCTTATAGAAAATGTTCCGTAGGTTCAGCATACGGTTGGTAAATAAAACGAGCAATAATTTAAAAGTTGTTATTCTCTCAACCGGTGCACAATGCGTTTGGTTCGTTCCTCTCGAAGCGGCAGATGTTTAATTTCAGATAAGAGACAATTATTGTACCACATCACACGTATGATCGCTATCAGCGAAAAATCTCAAACTGCTGCACAAAATGCAATCCAGATACGATGTCCCCGTGTCCTTGGTATTTAATGGCATTTCTTTCCGCCCAGGAAGATAGAGGAAGACCGTCAGGGCCTGCATTTTGTCTTTTTTAAACGGTCTGTAAAACTGATCCATTGGTTTGTCCGGAAAACACATTCACAGCTGCCAAAGCTAATCAACCAGTTCTCATGATGAACCTGTTTCATTTCAACATATAAACCGTGGAACAAAAGCGAAACAGATTTATTTTCAGACCACATTTCCATTATTCTGCTAAGCTACTGCTCGAAACACAGTCAATTTCAGTCCAGCTCTCAGCCCATTATGATTCACAGAGGCCAAGCATGAAATGAGCTTCTTTTCTTGACAGAACACATCTTGACTGACAGCTCCAACAAATGAGAAATCATTTACTGTGAACAGAGCGTCCGCTTTCTTTGGGCAAAAACGGACATATCTGAGAGGCTGTGTGTGACGGATGATGTGTTCAAATGCCTAAAATGAATTTAATGTTTGCTCTTTATTGGCATAAGCTTTTAGTCAGAGGTTTATTTGTTTTTATTACACATATTTTACTTCTATTAACTGCTTTTATTGTTTTGTGTGTGTGTATATATATATATATATATATATATATATATACACGCACACACGCACGCACACACACACACACACACACACACACACACACACACACACACACACA